ATAATGCAAAGTTACTGTTTTACCCCTTTTAAAATTTATGAAAATGATAAAAAGAAGTTGAGTGGCCATGGGGAAATGTTGTATGAAATTGGGTGGCGATAGTGAAACGCTATATGAAATTGAATGGTCTTTAATGAAATAAAATCAAATTAGGTAATTATGGAGACACTAAATATAAAGTTGTAAAGTTGAGTGGTCATGATGAAACAAAATTAAGTTGGGTGACCATGGAGAGACCAAGTATGAAGAATATTATGTTTATTGTTATTCTTCTTTGAATGTTTGAGGTTTCAGTGGCAACGCGATCCGGCATTTGGCTAGTGAGGAGCATTGGAAGAGAGTCGAGGGATTTATGTGGAAATATGGAGGAGGAATTGACCATGCAGATTCTTTTCGAATTTCCAAGGCGGATTTTGCGAACGTAAATTTGTAACTCCTTATGATAACTCTCTATGTTCTCGTGTATGCACTGACTTTGCTTAGTCTCATTTTGAATTGTGGTTATGAAATTTGAGGCTCTCTTAAATCTTGGAGGTTAGTAAGGACTGTCTTGAGTCATAATTAATTATGCCGAAGAATTTATAAATTGAGAGAATTGAGTGGTGGATAAATAGATAGTACGTGTAAGTCCATTGGAATGTGTGATTGAAAAGGAGACCAGCTATAAATAATTTATGAATTTTGCCAAGCGGAGTCTGTGATATTGTGTTTATTTGAGATTGAAATGCATAAAAAAAAATTATCTGTTGTAGCATTTAAGTCCCGATTACTGAGAGGAATTACATGCATATTGATACAGCTTGTTGCTTGGAAAAAATAACAAATAAAAAGCTCTACTAGTTTTTAATACTCTTTCTTTGTGAATATTTAAATTCAATCATATGATGTTTCTACTTGATGTGATGTGCTTACCTTCTTTTGGTATTTTCTTCATTATATTCTCTGTGAATTTCATAATTTTGAATTGATACGCAGTCCAGACTTAGTATTTTTCATGCTATATTCTTATATACTGGAGAACAAAAGTTGCTGTGATCGTCTCAGCAATATACATTGCATTTTCCCCCTGTTAGTGGATAGCTACTTTTACAATGGCATATTATACCATACCTTTTTACACTATCATGATATTTGGCTCCCCTTGGTTATCTGTGCTTTCAGTGGGAGAAAAAGTGCCAGTGTTTGAAGACTGAAAGTGCTAATGCAGAATCCTGCGGAACTTCGATTGGCCCATTGAATGATATCCACAATGAACTGAACTGTGCTTCTGTTAATAGTTTTGATAAAACTCATGTCCAGTCTTTTGATTTTAACACCTCAAATAGTGTTGTGCCTTTACAAAGCTATACAAATGAGAGATCTCAGGTATCTTACTCTGATTTATCTCAAGTCTCAGAGGCTGGCCCTCCTCTACACATTATGCTTGGGGGAACACGAGTAGGAGATGCACATGTCTTGAAGAATTCAGCAGGTCTATATTCGTGTTACTGTTACGGTTTCTTTATTATGAACCGTTCTTACGATGTTAATATATTTTATAGTTCCATGTATTCAATAATTTGCATCTCAAGTAAATGATTTTGACGATCTATTATGCTTATGTAATGGATAGGTTATGTTGGATATCAACATTCATTCAACACTGTTGCTGAGGAATGCTCATCATCTGATTATGTCATTAAAGGATCTGTGAGTTTATTGTTAGCATACTCTTAATCAAAATTTCCCTCACTTTCGGTTTGTTCTTCTACCTTTGGTTTGTTATTCTTGACATTATATTGTAGTATGAATTAGTTCTAAAATGTAATCTATTTGTGTAGGACCATTTGCTTGTGCAACAATTATAATTGGCAAGCGAAACCATGAAATCAATGCATGTTGATAATGTGAATGTTAAAAAGGGGAATTAGAAGCTATTAACCAACTTATGTGTACCTGGTGTTCTTGCTAAAAAGTCTATAATCTTATTTTTATACTTCATCCATCATAATTAGAAGACTTGAATTCCTATTTTGGGTTGTTTGGAAATAACATCTTCTTCCTTAGAATAGACTGTTTCTTTCGAAAATACCACTCTTTAAAGTACATGATAAGAAGATATCCCAGTAGTATCCTCTCGTAGCTCGACTGGGTTAATAACATGTGCCATCTACTCTTCTTTTGAAACTTGATTTTACCCCTGTGCTTGAGGACGGCTGGGGAGAGAAAGAACCATTCTCCCTGAAAGCAGGAAGTTGTTCTGTGAGGCCAGAGGTGCTCTCAGACCGGAGGGTTATGATGATAAAAAATTGAAGGTATATCAAATAGTGACTTCTTCACTCTCACTGCAAACTCCAGCCAGTTCAACCGTGGATGTTTAGTTTAAGCGCGAGTGTATTGTCTCTTTGTCTTGTATGATTTTGGTTCCAGCTGTTACAATAGGTGTTCAATAGTTATTTTGAGCATTATCAGTTACTCGGTGAAAGAACAAAAGATTCTGTAGGTGTTATTTTACAGGTCTATCTCGAGAAACATATAGTTTTGTGTTTCTTGGATCTTATTCTTGTTATTTTGTTACATAAGAGGAAGCTTGTCTTATATGTTTTTGAGGGGAAGTTTCTTTGATATATAATCATAAATGTCTTGATATCTTTTCCAAATATATTGATCTCTCTAATTGGCTTACCTCTTCTGTACCTGTATACCCTTTGCCAAATGCTGCAAAGAGCTTGCTGTGACCTGACCTTAAAACAGGGTCTTGAAAACTAAGTAATCTCTGCTGGTCCCATATCCTTTTTTAAGATTCATTAGGATTCTTATTGGTTGGAACTTTTGTAATATTGGTAGAAGTTTGATATCTTTTTTCCATCTCGTCAAATCATTTTTTCCACGAGGATGTCTTTCTATGGGATCGTGGGTCTCTTTATTAGTTCCTATTTGCGGTGTAAATTTCCTAGAATGTAAGTGGTGGTTATGATCGATTTGATGAAGGAAGGGATAGTGCATATTTGTCATTGGAAATTTCCTGGAAAAAATCATCACATATTCTTCAGATCCTTTAGAAGATATTCAGTGCATAAGGATAGAAGCTAAAGAGGATATTTATGCTCGTTGTGTCCTTTATATAGATATCAGATGTCGGGGGACATTCCCTTGGCCTGTACTGATGAGAATTTGACTCATAGAGCTGTCAATAAGTGCAGATGTGGTTTATATTATTATGTCACTTGATGGCCAATGTGACGTAGAACTCAATATAAAATAGAATGAAAGATAAGCTAAGAAAGAATAACAAGGTGTGAGCTGCAATCGAACAGAGTCTAACCCTAGATCCCTGGAAATTAATGCTAGGCTTCTAAGATGCCCACTGAAACCTCGTGTGTTTTCTGGTGTAGGATGTGGTTACTTTACGCTAATTGGTAAAAATCTGGGTTGAAGGTAAATGTAGCCCTCTCTGAAGCATGGACACGCTGTAGGAGGCAACGTACCCGTGTCCGACACGTGTCGGACATGGGTACGCCTCCGACAGGTCGCCGATGCGTGTCGGAGGCGAGAGATTGCAGATAGCTTGCAGAAATCTGTAAGAAAAAATTAATGGGAGGGAAGAAATGCTAGCTTGAACGGAACAAATGCTTCTGAAACAAACCAGGAATTAGATGGGAGGGAAGAAATGTTACCTTGAACGGAAGAAACCACGGTGGGCAAGAAGCCGTCGACTGTTCTGGCAAGAGATGCATTTGGGAAGGGAAGAATAAAGGGGAAGAAGAAAGGGGGAAAAGGAAGAGGAAATGAAGAAGGGAAATACCTGGGGAAGGAAAAGAAGAGGAAACGTGGGGAGAGAGAAAATGTATTCGGGAAGGAAAGAAAAATGGGGAAGGGAAGGAAAGAAAAGTGGGAAGGAAATGACAAGACTTTGACATTATTGGGCGCACCATTGTAATTTTGTTTCCTAGAAATGTGTAACTGACCTTTTTTTCATCAATGAATCATGTTCCAGTTGTATTTTTTGATTTTGACCAAAAAAAAAGGTCAAATTTTATTTGAAATCAATTTTTTACCATTTTACCCTTCAATAAAAAATCAAACTTGTAATCTACAAAAAAATCCACTTAAAATTTTCTTTCTTATTTCATCTTTTTCAAAAATTTTATATAAAAAGTTATTTCTTTAGACTATAAAATTAAAATAACCTTAAAAAAAAAAATTGTAATCAACGTGTCGGCAACGTATCGTGTCGGAACTTTTTTAAAAAATCGCATGTCGACGTGTCCGACACGTAGCATGTCCGACACGTATCTGTCGGACACTCGTGTCCGTGTCGATGCTTCTTAGGTAGCCCTCATATTCAAGGGGGTCTTGGAAGGGTGGAGAATGGCAAGAGATGGGTATCAAATATCATATCAGTTGCTTTTCCAGGAAGCTGTTTAATATTAAAGATTAAATCAAAATATCTTCTTCATAGTTAATTGAAGTTTGCTCAATGGACAGTTGCTTGGTAATTGACCCTTGTAAACATTTCTACCAATCACTCTGACTGTCTAGTAGGACAGGTGTTTGGATTTGGAAGGAGGTAAGAGGGTGAAAGAGTTTGCTGTGAGGCGCGTGTCAAAAGATTTTTCAATGAGAGCAAATGCTATTTATCCATAATTATATAAATCAGTAATCAAGAGTAACCTCACAGAATTAATAAAAAGTATTAGCTACCAATGAAGAGATTCTAGTCCTGAGTTCTTGACTTATGATAAACTTCCAAGTTGTGTCTGTCTGTGAGAACACATTAATTTAGCAACATCATCTGAATATATTATTTTATGAAAAAGAATATGAAGGGAAAAATATGGCACAATGATGCTAAAAGACCATTGGGCTGAGATGTTGGCCCAGCTGGATTTTGAAGGCCCAGCTCGTTTCTCTGTTTGGTTAAAATCGTGTTTGTTGGTTGCCTTAAAGTTGTGTT